GCTTTTTTGTTTTTTTTTGCCTTCCTCTGGATCAACTGTGGGGTGTAGGATTATAACTTTTTTTTTTTAAATGGTTGAACTAGATGGAGTTTTGTCTCTCTTTTTTCAGCCAGACTATGTATCTATGTAACATCAAGCAGGCAGAATGTGGACACCTAAAGGAGGACACCAGAAAGTAGAGCAGAAGAAGAGAGAAGGCCACATGGCTTCAGGTAGGTAAGATGAGCACCTGGATAGTTTTTTTTTTTTTTTTTTTTTCCATACCAGGAGTTAGCTGGGGGTGGGAAGGGGGTTGCTGAGATCCTAGAGTTGGGCTTTGAGTTCGAAGCATCCATGGAAGTCGCTCGCTGACGGTGTGTACTGCATGAACTGATTTTACTGCTGTTTACAGCAGTCTTGTTTGATAACATCATTGCGTGTTCCCCAAAACATTCTCAATAACAAACATTCCTTCTACCATCAATGTTTTCCCCTATTAAAAAGAAAGAACTATATGTGACTCTGCAGCTAGCTTGAACAGATATGCCAGAAGTGACAGCCTGATTGGAAATGCATTTTATATAAATAGTGCTGTTATTTTTTTTTTTCTCTCCCTGGGACAACATGTTGCCATGACTACCAACAGGATGGTATATTAATTCCAGACATTTTCGTCCAAATAAATTGTCGAGTGTTTTGTGCGATGAAAAGTTTGGCTTTTAGTCTTCTGTTTGTGAGTTAAGGACTTTTTTCCTACTTAGCCTGCAAGCCCAACCTGCGTCAACTCAGTGAAACTGAAAATTATTCTGCATTTGTTAATCACATTGGTTTGTGAAAATTTTACAAAAAGGACGTAGTGTTCGCAATGTGTTAATTATCACACATTCTTGCTTTTGCAAGAAGGGAAAGAATATACAGATAATGAGCAGGGAAGATAAGTAATGTGCAGGAATCCATCGCTGCCAATCAGATCGCATTATATTGCAGCCAAATCAGAGAAAAGTAATTGGTTACTTTGGATTGCTGATTATGGATAGGCTGCCACTCAGAACTTTGCTTTTTATCTTACTAGGTATTAGTTGCCTAGATTATGGTTATGTTAAAATGGATTTAGAACCTTAAACCTAAACCCATAAATAAAGATGCAAAATATTACAGCATACCAGCCGTTAAAGTGGTTGTAAATCTCTGATATGAAATATGAACAAAGCATATCCTTCTATGGTGTATGCTAGCCTCAATCCAAAACACAAAGTCTAATTTCTATCTGCAGTCTTGTTCCTCCGCTATCTGCATGAGTCATTTCTGACCGGTTTGTGTCCACTCTAAAGAATCAAGGGGGATGGGAGAGGAAGACTCCAGCACACAGCATGCATTGACAGCCTAGCTGTACATGTTTCCCTATGACAGGGGTATTGAATTAAAATTTACAGAGGTCCAGTCTCTACAGTTTTCTTCCAGCAGAGTTCTGAATTGCATTTTTGATTCTTAATGGCAGCTTGGAGCATTGGCATACGCTGCACATTTTTGTGACCGCCAAACAAGTTTGGTGCAGCTCAATTTTAAAAAAAGGGTCAGGGACTTATTTTTCTGCATTTCTGAATGTAAGACAGCCCATTGAAATGAATTGGCTGCCTACAGGTAGCAATGATGTAAACCTAGCCTCAGACCCTTCACATTACAATTCCATCATTACAATAGTGTTTTCAGTCCTGCGCATCACAACCCCCCTTGACATCACAGCCCCTCTTCACATCACAATTCTACCTCCTTTACATCAAGATCACCCCATTACATCACAGTTTTCCCCTTCATAGCAATGTCTTCAACCCCCCTTCACATCAATCCCCCCCATTAATTCACCTCCCCTTCACATTCTTGTCCTCAACCCCCTTTATATTAGCCCCCTTCTCCTTCACATTACTGTCTTCAGCCCACCATCACAGTACTGTCCTCACCCCCCCATACATTCCTGTCCTCTATTAGCCCCCCCTTTATATTAGCCCCCTCCTCCTTCACATTTCTGTCCTCAGCTCCCCTTCATATCATCCCTTCACATCCTTGCTGTCACCCTACCTCCCCCCTTTTGTATCACCCCCCTCCTCCTTCACATTCCTGTCTTCACCCCCCCCCCCTTTACATTCCTATCCTCATGCCCCCCTTTTTTTATCACCCCCCCCTCCTTCTTCACATTCCTATCCTCAGCCCCCCTCCCACTGCCCTTATATCACCCCCCTCCTCTCCTTCCTGTCCTCGGCCCACCTTCACAGTACTGTCCTTGCCCCCCCCATACATTCCTGTCCTCAGCTCCCCCCCCCTCCCCCCGTATATCACCCCCTTCTCCAGATTCATGTCCTCGGCCCCCCTTTACATCCTCCTTGGCTTTCCCCACACCCTTCACTGCAGTGACATAGTTCTCTTCAATGTCCTACCTACACAAGGTGGAAGGCAGGAGGAACATCCATCTAGAGCCGACATTAGAGGCAGGACGGGAGCTGCACAACTTTTCCTACTAACCAGCTTGTGATTGGTTGCTAGCATCCAATCACCTGCTGGTTAACTTGAAAAGTTAACTTGGCAGCTCCCACCCTCCATCCGGAACTGTTCTGCCTCCAGTGTCGGCTCGATGAGGTTGACAGCAGTGACGGCGGCTGACCGGAAGAGCTGGCTCCTAAATGGCAGAACCACAGCCAGTCCGGATGGGAGAGTGACCCGGTCCAGATCCAGACCGCTGCCCGCCATTTATGTGTGCCCTATGAGATTGTGTAGAGAGGGTGTGTTCGTTCCCTCTACTTTGGTCTCAGATTACACTCAGCTCTGCTGTCTGTGCTGTGCAGTGTGTGACATCAGATTCATTCCCCCTGCCTCTAGATGGATATAAAGCTGTGTAAATTCTGCTCTTTAAAGCGGTAATACACTCAAAATTTAATATATTGCAGCTTACAAATCTTTACACGTGGTAGCTGCATTGGTTTTCTTTTTTAGGCTCCCCCCCCCCCTTTTTCACCTGTTAATCTGGCCCATAACACACTTCCTGTATTAGAGCGCCCCCACTGTGGATGAATGAGCACAAGGGGCACAACAGAAAGCATTGTCATTCTGGGGTTGGCAGAGAGTAGTATTAAATAGGCTAGCAGATTTAAATACACTAACACATTGAAGCCAAACGCCAGCTCAGACTTTTATAATCAGTTACAGCAAACAGGTCTTTTCTTTTCAGAATAGAAGTTTTACATAAATAAAAGCTGATCATTTTAAGCACCCCTGTCAGTGTTAAATGGTTTGTCTCAACATTGTAAACGTATACATCTGGAAGAGAGTTTTTTTTTTCTTTTTGAAAAAACAAGAGGCTTACTGGCTCGCTTAATAAAAAGAAAGAAAGCCTAAAAAGAAAACTAATGCAGCCATTACATCTAAGAATTGGTAAGCTGCACTATAATAAATGTTTGCTTTTGGGTTTAATACTGCTTTAAACTGATGTAGAGAAGAGAAGGCTGCAGATAAACAGGTACAGCTTATACAGGGGGATTTGTTTCATCTCTGTGCACCATATGATGCCAGGAACTTTATTGGGTATATGTAAGGGTTTGTTGTTAAAATTAGGAGAACAACCTAAAGTGATATAGATACAGCATGATGAGTTGTTACTGACAGGATCAGCAGTTATAATTATTGGGGAAAAAAACCTTTGGCAGGAAAGTTTTTCACAATATGCTGTGCATCCTTGTACATTATGGCAGAAGCCCTGGGGACCCTCAGTGGACATTAGTTATGCTCTAACTAGAGTATATGAAAGGATGTTTGATTACACATTACAGAGGACCAATAATTTCCATATTTAAAAGATGAACAAGTATTTAGTAATATTATTGGCAAGCTACAGAGCAATATGCAATACTCCGCCTAATACCTATCTCTCAGTTAATACTCTACCACAGGATACTGGAGACAGGATGTACTGGAGTTTGTTAGCACCTGTGTCTTGTAATTACAGTATATACACTTCAGAATAAGCAGACTTTATATATGTTTTGTTCAGTCATTAGCACTGCTCCAGTGATTTTGTTTCTGTATAGAGCCTGAGGCATTCAGGGCGATCATGACCCACTTAATCTACTACAAAATGCTAAAGTGATTGAGTGCATTATATAATTGAGTATACATCTAATGTAGGTGCGGTATTTACCACTGCAATTCACAGGGCCTGAGTTTGTGGTTTGTTGCATTTTTTGTTTTAGTCTAGATATGATGTAATGTAGCAGTGCAGCTTCATATTTTCACTAACGTTTTCACTAATAAATAAAAAAAGCTACTACTTCTTCTCAGGTAATTGTTGAAATCCCTGGCAATACAATATATCAAAGAATGACTCCAGGACATTATTGGTATCTGCAGCATAAATGTAAAACTTAACTTCAGGAAAAAGTCAACACATTGCACATATATATATATATATATATATATACACACACACACTATATTGCCAAAAGTATTGGGACGCCTGCCTTTACACGCACATGAACTTTATTAGCATCTCAGTCTGTAGGGTTCAATATTGAGTTGGCCCACCCTTTGCAACTATAATAGCTTCAACTCTTCTGGGAAGGCTGTCCACAAAGTTTAGGAGTGTGTCTATGGGAATGTTTGACCATTCTTCCAGAAGCACATTTGTGAGGTCAGGCACTGATGTCAGACAAGAAGGCCTGGCTCGCAGTCTCTGCTCTAATTCATCCCAAATGTGTTCTATCGGGTTGAGGTCAGGACTCTGTGCAGGCCAGTCAAGTTCCTCCACCCCAAACTCGCTCATCCATGTCTTTATGGACCTTGCTTTGTGCACTGGTGCGCAGTTATGTTGGAACAGGAAGGAGCCATCCCCAAACTGTTCCTGCAAAGTTGAGAGCATCAAATTGTCCAAAATGTCCTGGTATGCTGATGCCTTAAGACTTCCCTTCACTGGAACTAGGGGGCCAAGCCCATCCCCTAAAAAACACCCCACACCATAATCCATCCTCCACCAAACTTTACACTTGGTACAATGCAGTCAGGCAAGCACCGTTCTCCTGGCAATCACCCAACCCAGATACGACCATCAGATTGCCAGGCAGAGAAGTGCGATTTGTCACTCCAGAGAACACGCCACGGTTGCTCTAGGGTCCAGTGCTTTACACCACTGCATCAGTTGCTTTGCATTGCACTTGGTGATGTAAGGCTTGGATGCAGCTGTTTGGCCGTGGAAACCCATTCCATGAAGCTCTCTACACACTGTTGTTGTGCTAATCTGAGGTTTGGAGGTCTTTAGCTATTGACTCTGCAGACAGTCGGTGACCTTACTTCCACTTTGTTATAATACCACTAACAGTTGACTGTGGAATATTTAGTTGCAAAGAAATGTCACGGATGGACTTATTGCACAGGTGGCAACCTATCACAGTACCACGCTTGAATTCACTGAGCTCCTGAGAGCAACCCATTCTTTCACAAATGTTTGTAGAAGCAGTCTGCATGTCTAGGTGTCAGATTTTATACACCTGTGGCCAAGGAGATGATTGGAACACTTGAATCCAATGATTTGGAGGGGTGTCCCAATACTTTTGGCAATATAGTGTGTGTGTGTGTGTGTGTGTGTGTGTGTGTGTGTGTGTGTGTGTGTGTGTATATATGTGTGTGTGTGTGTGTATGTATATATATATATATATATATATATATATATATATACATATGTGTGTATATATATATGTGTGTGTGTTGGACAAAGTTATGGAAATGCCAGGTAAAAAAGCGTCATTACCTATTACGGTGTCCAAGACAGCCTAAATTCTCGAGAGAATTGACAAATATATGTCTTGGATGGTGGATAATGGAATCTGATACCAATCTTCATAAAAGAATTGACCCAGCTCTAGCAGATATGCAAGAGACAGAAAACAAGCCCCAACCTTGTTCTCCAAAGTTTTCCATAGTGGCTCTACCATATTGAGCTCAAATGACTGAGGTGCCCAGGGAAGGTGCGAGACTGCTGCTGCATGCTAGTTAAACCTCAATTTGACAGCAACATGGTCAGCCGAAATTTGTACAGTCGCTGGCAGTGACTCTACCTTTCAAGGTGAAGATGGGGCCTGCAGAATACCAAGATATGGCTGCCCAACCCATGATTGCGCTGCCACTATGCTTTACCACTGGCACAAGGCAGTCATGGTCGTAAGCTTGGGACAGTGTTTGCTATGTGTAAACACATCTGTTGGTTGGGGACAGTGCAAAGCTTGGTTCACTGGACCATGCTATAGTCTTCCATTGATCAATAATCCACAATTTATGGGTGTTGCACCACTCTCTCCTCTTCTGAGCATTAAAATTGGTCATGCTAGGTGTCTCATCAGGCAGCAGAAGCAAAAGAATGGCACATTACTTCTGCTTTCAGCGTGAAAAATGTCTTAACTTTTACACCTGCAAATCATGTAGTATTTCCATTCTTTTGTCTAACCTCTGGATATATATGGTGTTTGTATGTATATACAGGTGAAACTTGAAAAATTTGAATATCATGCAAAAGTTCATTTATTTCAGTAATGCAACTTAAAAGGTGAAACTTATACAGTTGCAAGAAAAAGTATGTAAACCCCTTGGGATTACGTGGAGTTTTGCATGAATTGGGCATAAAATGTGGTCTGAACGTCATCTAAGTCACAACAATAGAAGAACACAGTCTGCTGAACATAATACTACACAAACATTAGATGTTGCCATGGTTTAATTGCACATAACATGTAAACATTCACAGTGCAGGGAGGAAAAAGTATGTGAACCTTTGGACTTAATAACTGGTTGACCCTCCTTTGGCAGCAATAACCTCAACCAAACGTTTCCTGTAGTTGCAGATCAGACCTGCACAACGATCTGGAGTCATTTTGGACCACTCCCCTTCACAAAACCGTTTCAGTGTAGCAATATTCTTGGGATGTCTGGTGTGAATCACTCTCTTAAGGTTATGCCACAGCATTTCAATCGGGTTGAGGTCAGGACTCTGACTGGGCCACTCCAGAAGGCGTATTCTGTGCTGTTGCAGCCATTGTTTTGTTGAATTACTTGTATGCTTTGGGTCATTGTCCTGTTGCATCACCCATATTCTGCGGAGCTTCAGTTGGCGGACAGATGGTCATACGTTTTCCTGCAAAATGTCTTGATAAACTCTGGAATTCATTTTCCCATCAATGACGACAATCTGTCCAGGCCCTGAGGCAGCAAAGCAGCCCCAAACCATGATGCTCCCTCCGCCATGTTTCACAGTGGGGATGAGATTTTGATGTTGGTGTGCTGTGCCTTTTTTTCTCCACACATAGTGTTGAGTGTTCTTCCCAAACAACTCAATCTTGGTTTCATCTGTCCACAGTATATTTTGCCAGTAGTGCTGTGGAACATCCAGGTGCTCTTTTGCAAACTTCAAACGTGCTGCAATATTCTTTTTGGACAGCAATGGCTTCCTCCGTGGTGTCCTCCTATGTACTCCATTCTTGTTTAATGTTTTCCTTCTTGTAGATGTGTCAACAAAAATGTTAGCATATGCCAGAGATTTCTGTAGGTCTTTAGCTGACACTCTGGGATTCTTCTTTACCTCATGCAGCATTCTGCGCTGTGCTCTTGCAGTCATTTTTACAGGACGACCACGCCTAGGGAGAGTAGCAACAGTGCTAAACTTTCTCCATTTGTAGACAGTCTGTCTTACCGTGGACACATGAACATCAAGGCTTTTGGAGATACTTTTGTAACCCTTTCCAGCTTCATGCAAGTCAACAATTCTTGATCATAGGTCTTCTGAGAGCTCTTTTCTGAGAGGTATGGTTCACATCAGACAGTGCTTCTTGAAACCAGTAAACCCAAAACAGGTGTATGTTTTTTAAGGGCAGGACAGCTGTCAGCAACACATCCAATATCATCACACTGATTGGAGTCAAGGTTGGCTCACTCCTGGCTCCAATTAGCTCTGGGAGAAGTCATTAAGCTAGGGCCTCACATACTTTTTCCTCCCTGCACTTTGAATGTTTACATGTTATGTGCAATTAAACCATGGCAACATCTAATGTTTGTGTAGTATTATGTTCAGCAGACAGTGTTCTTCTATTGTTGTGACTTAGATGACGTTCAGAGCACATTTTATGCCCAATTCATGCAAAACTCCACGTAATCCCAAGGGGTTCACATATTTTTTCTTGCAACTGTATATGAGATAGACTCATTGCATGCAAAGCAAGATAGTTCAAGCCATGATTTGTCCTAATTGTGATGATTATGGCTTACAGCTCATGAAAACCACAATCTCAAAAAATTAGAATATTACATGCAATCAATAAAACAAGGATAGTACATAGAACAATATCAGACCTCTGAAAAGTATAAGCATGTATATGTACTCAGTACTTGGTTGGGCCCCTTTTGCAGCAATTACTGCCTCAATGCAGCGTGGCATGGAAGCTATCAGCCTGTGGCACTGCTGAGGTGTTATGGAAGACCAGGATGCTTCAATAGCGGCCTTCAGCTTTTCTGCATTGTTCGGTCTCATGTCTCTCATCTTTCTCTTGGCAATGCCCCATAGATTCTCTATGGGGTTAAGCTCAGGCGAGTTTGTTGGCCAATCAAGCACAGTAATCCCACGGTCATTGAACCAGGCTTTGGTGCTTTTGGCAATGTGGGCAGGTGTCAAGTCCTGCTGGAAAATGAAGTCAGCATCCCCATAAAGCTCGTCTGCGGAAGAAAGCATGAAGTGCTCCAAAATCTCCTGGTAGAAGGCTGCGTTGACCCTGGACTTAATGAAGCACAGTGGACCAACCCCAGCAGATGACATGGCTCCCCAAATCAACACAGACTGTGGAAACTTCACACTGGACTTCAAGCATCTTGCAGTGTGTGCCTTTCCATTCTTCCTCCATACTCTGGGTCCTTGGTTTCCAAATGAGAGGCAAAAGTTGCTCTCATCAGAAAAGAGGACTTTGGACCACTGAGCAACAGACCAGGGGTGTGTTCCTTTAGCCCAGGTAAGATGCTTCTGATGTTGTTTGTTGTTCAGGAGCGGCTTGACAAGAGGAATATGACATTTGAAGCCCATGACCAGGATCCGACTGTGTGTGGTGCCTCTTGAAGCACTGACTCCAGCCTCGGTCCACTCCTTGTGAAAGTCCCCAATACTTTTGAATGGCCTTTTCCTGACAATCCTCTCCAGGCTGTGGTCATCCCTGCTGCTTGTGCAACTTTTTCTTCCACACTTTTCCCTTCCCCATAACTTTCTATTAATGTGCTTTGATACAGCACTTTGGGAACATCCACCTTCTTTTGCAATTCCCTTTTGAGGCTTTCCCTCCTTATGGAGGGTGTCAATGATGGTTTTCTGCACAACTGTCAGGTCAGCAGTCTTTCCCATGATTGTGATTCCTACTGAACCAGACTGAGAGACCATTTAAAGGCTCAGGAACCGTTTGCAGGTGTTATGGCTTAATTAGCTGATTAGAGTGGGACACTTTGACCCTAGAATATTGCACCTTTTCACAATATTCTAATTTTCTGAGATTGTGGATTTTGGGTTTTCATGAGCTGTAAGCCATAATCATCACAATTATGACAAATCACGGTTTGAACTATCTCAGGGGTGGGCAAACTTTTTGACTTGAGGGCCGCAATGGGTTCATATATTGGACCCGGGGGCCGGACCAAGAGTAGATGAATGATGTGTATGTGTGAATTAATATAAATTAAATTACCTTTGCTCCGCGCGTTCCTCTCGCCGTGTTCCCGCGCCGTTCCGGTCTTCAGGGCGGACTGTGAGAGGAGCCTAGCTCCCCTCACGTTCGTCACGCTGCCCCGCCTACACGCATCCTGACAGCCAATCACTGGCTATCAGGATGTGAGTGGCAGCGAGACTGGCCAATCATTGCATTTGAGCGCGCTGAATGATGCAAATGTTTGCCTGCCCTGGCTGTTTTTTTTTTGTATCACGCTCCGCGGGCCGGATTAAAAGGTCCGCCGGGCCGTAGTTTGCCCATTGCTGGTCTATCTCATATATTAGTTTCACCTTTTTAAGTTGCATTACTGAAATAAATTAACTTTTGCACGACATTCTAATTTTTCGAGTTTCACCTGTATATGTGTGTGTGTGTGTGTGTGTGTGTGTGTGTATATATGTATATATGTGTATATATATATATATATATATATATATATATATATATATATATATATATATATATATATATATATATATATATATGTGTATATATATATATATATATATATATATATATATATATATATATATATATATATATAAATTAGTATTTTTCCAGCATTTTACCTGTCAGAAGATTTTTGATCCAGACATCCCTGCCAAGCAGCATAGCTTAATTGCTAAGGCCAGTTTTCTGCATTGCTAAGAGCATGCTTCCTGGTGGTGACTGAGTAACTGCCTTGCTTTCTTGTTCTCCCTCTCCTGTCTGTAAGTTTCTAGTGTTAGACTGACAGCACTGTG